TCCCGCGTCCGCTTCGAGGAGGGCGCCGTGTTCCTGGCCGCCTGCTCCAGCGGCGACACCGAGGAGGTGAAGAGGCTGCTGGGCCGCGGCGCCCGCATCAACACCACCAATGTGGACGGGCTGACAGCCCTGCACCAGGTACCGGGGCCGGGGGGCGGCCCGGCTGTGTGTGCCCTCGGCCAGCACCGGCCTGCGGGGCACGGTGGTACCGGCAGCCCCGGCCGGGGGTGTCGGTAAACAAAGGCTTCGGTTCGCTTTGATCCGAGCCCCGTCCGGTGCGTTCAGCCTGTGGCAGAGCACAGACCGAGGTGTTTCCCATCGGACAGTGGGATGTACCAACTTCTCACAGGGTTATTAAGTAGATTAATTAGCAAAATAAAACGCGGGCTGGCAGGGCTTCGGGCCTGGCCAGGCGACCAGTTTATTAATTTTTTCAAAATTTAGAATTTGATTGGGATCTGCTGAAGTGCCGGGAAAATTTTCCAGGAGGACTGGGAATTTTGCAAGGTCAGGAGTGTCTGGGCAGTTCTTATGTTTAATCAGAGTTGCCTTGAAACTCCCCAAACCTCTCCTTGGCAGAGAGCGGCCACATGGCCGATAAGTAACGTAGATTCTATTAATACTCATCCAAATGTGAAGATGGTACAAAGTGGTCACTGGAATTGGCTGCAGAGTGGTGGTAAAGCCTTGACTGTCAAGAAACATGTGCTGTGTTCCATCTGTAGCTTTTCCTGCTCTGGTGTAAATGAGCAGGAAGGCAAGGGAACATGCAGAATTGCCTCCCTGGAATATTGGGGAACCTGTTGCTGTGCAAGACTGATTGAGAATTTAGCAGGGTGTGTGAAATCAGTGTAAGAGATTGGTCCATCTGGTCAGAGAAATGAATCTGATTTGGATCCAGGCCAGCTTTGGAAACAAAATTTTCTTAGTTCAAGATAGTGTAGATGAAGCATTTACTGTAGCAACAGGAGTGAGGAAAAAGGCACAGTTCGGGAATAACATCAGGAAATAACGTGTTTGTAAAGAATAACATGTTAACAGCACATATAGCAGGATAATTCTTGCGCTAATTAGGATTTCTTCTTTGCTGGGCTGATGTTACAGAAGTATTTGGGACATGTACAAGGTAGTTCAGGAGCTTGCTGGCTCACAGCTGTCAGGGAACAAGGGGCAGGAAGATTTACTCATTTTGGCTTGGACTTCCAAAAATAAGTTGTGAAGCAAAGAGCATGCAAGCTTACAGACTGTCAGGTTGAATAAGACTTCAGCTGGCAAAGCAGTGAGCCTTGTAATGGCTGGGCCTTTTTCTTGGTTATTTGTGGAGTTTGGTATAGCAACAGCAAATAAATTGTCCTGTGTTAGTAACCTCTAGTCCAGCACATGTGTATTTATTGTCAGATAAATAACTAGTCCTGCAGACATTGGCAAGAACCAGCTACTGAAAAGCTGGTTATTCAAAGTATTTTGATAGTCAAGGCTGAATTTAAGGTGGATACATGGTGGAGTTGGGATGACTTCATGAGGGATTTCCAGCCAGGATTGATTGTGATCCCCTCAGAAGGGTCTCGTGCTGCTGTGGGTAATGTGAGGTGTCTGGTGAAGTGTGCTGGACTCTGATGGCAGGCAGTGAGCTCAGCAAGGTCATGCTCCTGGAGACTGTGGCAGGCCATATATTGCCAGGCAGGCTGCAAATTGAATTCTGTGTACGTAAAGGATACAGAATTGTATCGTATGTGCCGGAGGAGCCCAGTATCGGGTGACACTGACCAGTAACACCTAGGCTTTGATACTTGGAAGACCTTGGATGAGTGAGTGGTGGAGCAGATGTTGGCTGTACCAGCCAGCTGCTTACATGAAGTGTTTCTTCACAAACTGGACAGAAAGGGAAGGTGATCTTACTGTGATTGGAACAAAAACTTTGTTCCAATGTCCCATGGATGTAATAGCAGTTTTGCTGAAGAGTGACAAGATGTTCTTGCACACCCAAATGGAACAAATGCTGTTTTGCTAAAGGTTTTGTTGTGCTTGTGTTTCCCAAGTCTGTAAACCCTATCAGATGAAAATGTTTATTAGCGTGGTTGGGGAGGTTGTTATGAGTTCCTTTCTCTGAACCTGACCAAAATGGATTTGTTTTCATGTTGCTTGGAGAATAATGCTACCTCTGGTAAAGTTAGGTTGGGGATCCCCAGAGCACTGGTTGACAACTGGAATGATGTAATACATGTGAAGATATTTAAATAACTTCTCTTAGTACTAGAAACACAACGTTTTGTTACAGGGCAGATGGTAATGACAGTCTGCTCTTGTTTAGTACCTGTTGAACCAAATGGCTACTCAATGAGGAAGGAAATCCTACACATTGAAAAAGGCTGGCTTTCTTGACAGAAAGATCAGGTAAAATATTTTTCTTTGGTTAAAGAATTTAATGTATGAGACTTGTTCTGGATGAGCATTCAGGTCTTTTTAGGTAGTGAAAGGGTTAACCAAGTCAATTGATTTAATTTGTCAGAGTCAGCAGCTGCTCCCACAAAACCTAAGACCAATCTTATAAATCGGGTTAGTTTGTTTGAAGCGCAGGGTGGGCCCAAATATTGTGTGCGTTCACAAAGGTAAAATTACACTTGCTCTGGTATCTGGGCCACTGTGGCTAAGACCCATTATGTACTTGGTGTGTGAGAAGCTGGCTTGGCTATTTATAGCCACAAAGCTATATTTTGAAAATAACCTTTTAAATTATAAGTGATGTTTTTGAGCCTGCAGCCTGTGTCACTGCCCTCTTTGGAGGCATCAGACCTGCACCACAGCCCATGTCTGGAACCTGTAGGGTGGCTTCAGCTGTATTTTGTCTACCTCAGTGCCTGCAGAATGTTGCTGGATGAACATCAGTCCCATATTTTCAATTATAAACTTAGATTATGCTCACTGAATTATTTTTGACAATGATTTTGCGTCTAATGCAGAATGGAAAGGGAGATATTAGTTAAATGTGGGTGAACACATAGAAATCATCAAGGAAAGTTGGTGAAATGAACTATTGGTGGCAGTTGAACTTCTCTAGTGTTTGCAGGTGGTGGGAAATGGGTATGAACTGCTCTTCTGTCTCCTGGGTGACAGATAAAACCAAAGAGTAAACTTGTATGAAAATTGAGTCTTAAGGGAAAAACGTTCTGCTGCTTCTAGTTGGGAAAGCGTCTCCCAATGTAATAATATCAATGCTTGTTTGTCTTCAAGGACTGGTTCACAAAAGATGACAGCAAAGATTGTTTATCCTCTGTCTGCCCTTTGATGATTTACTCTGTTTCCCCTTGGCCTGTTCCAAGGAGAAGTGAGTTGCTCATGAAATAACTCCTGTGTCATTTACATTTACAAGTACTCTGCAGTACCTTGGTGCTTGCTGTTGACTTTGTTTTGAGGTGCTGGATGCCTGTGCTAATGCAGGAACTGCTTCCTGAGTCGTCAGGTACTTTGTGCAGTGACTCTGGGTTAGGTGGAGGCTGTTTGTTATTCTCAGTTTGTTATTCCTCCTTCTGAGCTAGAGCTGTAAAACTGCAGGCATGTCTGGTTGCTCCTCAGAGCTTTCTGAGGTGGCATCTGTGTCAAAAGGTTTGGGCATTTTTCAGTTGCTGCTCAGCAAGTTTGCTGTTTCCTCATACAGGTTGTGTGCAGCCATGACAAAGTAGGAAGCAACAGAGTTTTTGGACAGTCCAGAAAGCAGAGGTGATAGAGAGCACTCTGCCCCATCACAGCAGTCTGGAGACTGTTAGAAGAGTCACTGAGGTGCTAACACTGGAACAAAATCTGGGGACTGAGGGAAGGGAGGAGAGGATTCCCCCATCACTAAACCATGTCCCTAGGTGCCACAGCTTTCTGAACACTTTCAGAGAGGGTGACTCCACCATGTCACTGGGCAACCTGTGCCAGGGCCTGACCACCCTTTTGGCAAGAAATTTTCTATAATCAACCTAAACCTCCCCTGGCACAGCTTGAGGCTGTTCTCTCTCATCTTGTACCCTGGGAGAAGAGCCCTGCACCCCCCCAAGCTGTCCCCTCCTGGCAGGGGGTTGTGCAGAGCCAGAAAGTCCCTCCTGAGCCTCCTTTTCTCCAAAGGTTGAGCTCCCCTCAGCTCCCTCAGCTGCATCTGGTGCTCCAGCCCCTTCCCCTGCTCCATTCCCTTCTCTGGACACAAAATCTCTTAATCACTGAAAGGTAACAGCCAGTCTGTGCCTTAAGAGGTGAGGAGATAACTTACAGTGGCATGGCAACTCTGAATAAATGTTCAGGTGCTCCATCTTTGGGGCATCTCAGCTGTGGTTTAAGGTAGTTCAGCTTCTGATCTCTAAGTTGGTGATGATAGCATCATAGATCCGGCTGCATTTTTTAAGATTGGGTTAGGCTGCATTGCCTAAAAATACATTCATTCCTGGAATAGAAGCTTATCTGGGGAGAGTGATACCTTTCCCACCACACTGCAGAGTTCCTTTCTGAAGGTGTTCTTCTGTCATGAAAAGTAAAAGTTGCAAGCTTCTTGTGCTGCATGTAACACTGCTCGTCAAAGTGAAATAAGGCACTGTTAAAAACAGGGTTTATCACTAGGGTGAGTGAAATGGGGTTTTTGGGTTTCAGTTATAAATGGGAATTCAGTTACATGTACCATCCCACAGGGCTCTGAATAAAGTGAGAGAGCTTGGAAGATGCCTGCAATACACCAGGAATTTATGAGATAAAATAGTTAAAATCTGAAGTGCTGTTTTATCAACCTCATGCTTTTATTTTCTTCCTTTTGGCTTACTCAGTCCCTGTTTTGCCTTGATGTTTTCATCAAGGGTTCAATTGTCTTTCCCTTGCATCTCTATTTCCAAGCAGTCTCCTGAGTGGGCAGAATTAACTGTAGACTACACAAACTAACCTTGAGCTGCAGTTAGAGCCTGGGAGAGCTGCTCCTCCTGGCAGCAGGGCAGGAAACCTTCCCCTGGTTTGTTTTGGGGCACTTTCAACTGGATGGTTTAGCTTCTGGAAACCAAAGACAACCACATCATCATTTACTCAAATGCTAGGTGCCTGGGAGGAAGCTCTGCATTTCAGTAAGTAGATGGGTGTTTGGGAGGGGAGATGTGCATCTTCATTGCTTCCTTCCTCAG